GCAAAACTGAGGTAATCATGTTTGGACCCAGTGGAGCTTCTGTTGACCCTTCCTTAGCTCTGAGCTCCCTCAGTCACTGTCTTTAGAACAACAGTCACCAACCTTAAATGGAGTCTGGTGGGTTTGGTGATGGTGATTTCAGGGCTGTTTCTGGTTAAACAAAAAGGATCTTACTGTTTAACACAAAGCTCTATCTCTGTAGGGATTTCATAATGTTGTCAGACACTTAAAATAACAATCTGAGCCTGTCAGTGACAAAAACAAACACGTTCATTGGATATAAATTGACACTGCACAAATGCCTGAAGGGTTAAACTGACCTGTTTCGCAGTTTCTCAATACTGGACCAATTTCAGAAATGGTTGTTCCCATTAGTTACTTAATAGAGTTCAGGTTAAGAAGTACGGACATTGCCCTTTAAGGTCGTCATGGATCTTTTTCAGATTGGGTACAAGTTTTCAAAACTGTGATGGAGCTGCTGGTTTTACACAGTAAGCAGAGCAGATCAAAGCTGAACTAACAGAGGCAGTACATATTCACAGGAGAGAGTTTGGGTTACAACTTAACCACATACCTTTAGTTTGACGATGTAACCTGAGCAGTGTTAGAGCACACATCCAGTTTGATGCCAGTCATGAGACCTTCAGATTAAGACTCATTAAGACTGTTTAACCTGCGTTAAACTGCCTGGATTAACAGAAACCTTCACTGTGACCTCTGAACCCACCTTAGAAACCACAAAAAAATCCAACGCACTGATGATAAACAGGCTGAGGTTGGCAAATCTCTCTTATTCCACTCTTGCTGAAAAAGGCCTCATGTGTTTAACCACTCTAACTCATTTTAATCTGAAAATCTGAGATGGTGGCTTCTTGCCAGTTCCCTTCATTTGATCGTTCCTCGCTCAATCAGATCACTGTTTCACAGCTGAGCAGTTATTGTGACAAGTGAAAGCTAAAATCTGTAAATAACAACAGTGGTTGTGATTAAACACAGTGAAGGTGATGATATCTATGTCTACAGTCAAACTCAAAAACGACTCCAAACGCTCCAACATTAGCTGTTTTCTGCTGTCTCCACTCACCATAAATGTAATGAAGCTTACAGGCTATATTACCTTTAAAAAAAACACCTGCTGAAGTTCTCATAACCATTGATTTCCCTCTGATATAAGGACAAAATGGCTCATTCAATGATACAAGTGATGCTCTGGACATGCAGAAGTTTCCCTTCCACTTATAATTGACAACAATTCCACTCTGTCAACCCAGTCACCAGAATAAATGTTGGCATTGTACATTTCTGTAAACGGTCACGGTTGTGTTATATATGTACGTTATAATGTAGTGCATTTGTTAAAACACGGCTGTGGTTAACACAACTACTTTTCCTACTTGGGTGGGAAAAGATCATGTTTGGGCTTAAAATACCCAGTTTTGCAAACACAGCAAAAGCTCGGTATAAAACAACATTTTTTTTTGGCTCTATCCCGGCAGTAAATGCAAGACAGCTGTGTAAAAAATAATCACTTTTTGTGGCACTATCTTTGCAGGAAACACATCAATATCTCAGTAAAAACAACTGTTTTTTGTGGCACTATCCCAGCAGGAAATGCAGCGATGTCTCGGTATAAAACAACCACTTTTCATGGCATTCTTAAAAAAAATCTCTGTTTGAGTGACCTAAAACTCTTCATAGAGGAACGCAGAGAAAAAATCTCTGTACACGTGTAGACAAGGCCTATAAGAAGAGGAAGAAGAGGAGGTTCACGGTGGACGGAGGGCTTCACGACGATGATCTGCAAACTAGTGATCCCGCATTTTAACTGTGTTGTTGTATGAACAAGGAAAGAGACAACAAACAGGGACTTTGGTTGCATATGAAGAAATATGAGGAAAGACAGACGGGGACTGAAAGGAAGTAAAGAGAAAGACAGAAAAGTGACGCCACGCTGAGAAACACAAAGAGACACCGACAGACCGTCGGACATCGGGCAGATGCTGGGTCGGCGCTAACACTGATCTGGGTACAGTACAGAATAAAAGCGTGAGTGTGTTCAACAGCACCCAGGAAAACACATAATTCACATTCTTGTCCTATTTTACAGCAGTTTGGCCTCCATCCCAGAATAACCTCCACACACACACATGAACACACACACGAACACACACTAGCACCAGTCTGCTGATTTGCATTTTAATAAAATGAGGCCACCATGGCTGTACAGACAGAGAGGGAATCATTAGTGATCACTTTCCTTTTACAGTAGCTTCACTTAGCTGAGATAAGATAGCATCACTGACCAATCACCATTCANATATGAGGAAAGACAGACGGGGACTGAAAGGAAGTAAAGAGAAAGACAGAAAAGTGACGCCACGCTGAGAAACACAAAGAGACACCGACAGACCGTCGGACATCGGGCAGATGCTGGGTCGGCGCTAACACTGATCTGGGTACAGTACAGAATAAAAGCGTGAGTGTGTTCAACAGCACCCAGGAAAACACATAATTCACATTCTTGTCCTATTTTACAGCAGTTTGGCCTCCATCCCAGAATAACCTCCACACACACACATGAACACACACACGAACACACACTAGCACCAGCCTGCTGATTTGCATTTTAATAAAATGAGGCCACCAGGGCTGTACAGACAGAGAGGGAATCATTAGTGATCACTTTCCTTTTACAGTAGCTTCACTTAGCTGAGATAAGATAGCATCACTGACCAATCACCATTCAGTATAAACCATCTAGAGTCAGCTGTTTGCATTGTGTTATTTTCAGTTAAGGGCGACAGACAAAGGTAAATCGTGAACACAAACTTACAGTGAAACTTTTGAGCACATCATCTCATTGTTTTAAGCGAATCACCCAAAAAGCTCTGAATCAGGAACTCCAGGACTCAAGGCAGCAGACATGTGACTAACAAGCAGTTAGTCATCATTACTGTAACTGGGCACCTGCAGCTGCTATCCCCCAAAATCAGCGCCAGTTATAATTTGTTAATTGGTGAGTAACTTTAAAGGGGCAGTTCAGTGTTGGAGATATCAGCCATAGAGATGTCTGCCTTCTCTCCAATGTAAGGAGATGTACACATGCCGCTTTTTCGCGCCCTCTGATTCATTGTTTGCAATGAAAACGTGCAGCTTGAGGAGTCAAACGCCAGAGTGATGCCGGCGCACGTGTTCCCGGGCGCCTATTTTTTAGACCTGAGATAAACTTAGTTCAACTTTTGGAAAGCAGCAGCATGCACCACATGTCATGTGACAAGGAACAACCATCATAGTTGACAGATATCTTTCCCTTCTTCAATAAAGAAGTAAATATGGAAAGGTTGACCCCACGCTGATCCAACCTGCCGCCACGCTCTTGAAAGCTGGCTCAAAAAAGGTACAAAAGTAGCGCCCAGCACCCGACATCGCATTTTCCAAGCGGTTAAAGATGCTGCATGTGTACGGCCCCTAATGGATCTAGATGTCTTTCAGCTTGTGGTGTGTCAAAAAATTACATCTGAAAACTCAACATCAATGTCTCTTTCCAGAAATCATGACCTGGTTACTCAAGATAAAACAGACATTGCTGTGAGCAGTTTCATGTAGGAACTATTTTCTTTCTACCGATCTACATTAGACAATTTTTTTTTGAATGTAGGTCAGGTTGTTGACCCCTGGTTTAGCCTGATTGCTCCACACTGTTCCAAAATGATCTTGACAATCTGTGTTTTTACAAAGCTCTCATCATGGAGGGGCTGCTAACTACAGTAGGCGATGTTAAAGTGTGTTTGGTTTGTCCGTTCTGGGCTACTGTAGAAACATGGTGATCTCCACGAAGGAGGACTCTGGGTTCCATTTATAAAAATTGCGTACACACAAAATGAGGCCTGAAGAGGCGTATGCTACTTCCCACAGAAAAGTTGTGATCTATAAAAACAGAGTTGATGGGAGAAACTTTGACCCATGATTACAACATTTTGGTGACGGAAAACTGGCAACGCACATGGTGAGGTAGAAACTGACAAATATTTTTTGCCTCACTTCATTTTTGGTACATTTTCAGCATGGATCCTATGCACTGCTTTAGAAATGAGCCCCCTGCCCTCTAGGGCTGCAACGATTAGTCGACTAATCGAGTGTTAAAACAATCGGTGACTGTTTTAGTAGTCGACTAATCGGTTTGAGTCATAGAAAAGTACTATAAAAGTACCCCAAAATGCGCTTATATTGGCAGCTTTACACACTCTCCCATGATGGTGAATAAAACCCTTTGGCGTGAGTACGAAACAAGACATTAGATGACATCATTTTGGGGTTTGGGAGAGACAGACCGACATTTTTCAACATTTTAACACATTTTCCGATAAAATGTTTAATCGACTAATCGAAGAAATAATCGACAGATTAGTCAACACTGAAAATAATCTCTAGTCACAGCCCTACTGCCCTTTAAGTAGATATAGACCAGCTCTTTCTAAGGTAAGGAAAACACAATGATTCTTATTTTCAGGTGATTATACACTACAGAAAACGTACTTACTATACTGCATTTCTGCCATTGTGTCCCCCAAAATCTTACACACTGGACCTTTAAATATGCCTCTTTTGAGCTACCCAACTTTAGGGAAGTGCAGACCTTAACCTGCCCTTTAAAGGTACCCTTTAAACTGCACTCTAGCACTGCTCAGACTGAGGCTATTAAAATTACATTGATATTTAAGGAGTAGGACTTTTACAGAGGTGATAGCAGGCTATCTTTTCTACTTTTACCTTTAAGGGATGAACACTTCTTCCACCAGTGACCTTACTTATAAATTACAAACAAACATTATTCTTGTGGATTAATAGGATATAGTTTGATTAGGTATCATTATGTGTCACAGTGACGCTGAACAGGTCCCAGTAGTGTGTTGAGGCCCCACATGTCAGAGGTGAACATACCACACATGACATGTGACACATACATGTATATGATGACACAGTAAGGATCAGATTTGTACCTTGGAGATGATGAGCGGCTCTCCGTGCTCCAGGCCGCCCTGCAGGGTGAATCCCCACGGTGCTCCTCCCTGCAGCCGGGCCTCCACCAGCACCCAGCCGCCTCCTCCTCCTCCTCCTCCTCCGCCTGCCGCCTGCTGCTGCTGCTGCTGGAGCCCCGCCCGGACGCCGTTCTCCATGCCCGGCCGGGGGAGCGCTCTCTCCGGGCCCCTCTTGTCCTCTCAGCCCGGGGACTGCACAAAACGGTGTCTCCTTTACGAGCGCATTTCCTCCATTCATTTATAACTCCTCGGTGAGAATAAAGGAGAGAAGGAGGTGTCCGAGCACCGAGCTGCGTTTCCTGCAAAGTGCATTCCTGAAGTGCAGAGAGCGGCTGATCCTCCGGAGAACAGACCCCCAACAACACACCGAAAGCTCCCGCAGGAGTCTGAGGAGGAGGGGAGAAAGTTTACAGACAGGAGAAAGTCATAAAAGTTGGAGATGGACGAAGGTCAGATCAGATATGGTCAGAAACAGAAACCCAAACCTCTCCCTCTCTGTGTCTGCCTCTCTTTCTATCTCTCTCTCTTCCGAAAATCAGTTTAGCATCACAATAGGATTTACTGCGACTCAGTGAGCCAGAAGAAAAGAGAGAGACACAGAGAGGTGGAGTGAGACTGAGAGGGGGGACGAGGGAGGAGAGGAGAGGAGAGGAGAGGGTGAGGTAGGCGAGGGAGGAAAAATGAAACAAGTTAAAAAGAAAGAAAGAGAAGGAGGAAGGTAGGAAATCAGAATTGAGGAGGAAATGGAGGGTTTGGAAATAAAGAAAAAGACAAGATGGAGGAAAAAAGTAGGAAAGAAAAACGTAAAAATGACAAAAAATAACAGAAACTTATAGAAAAAGGAGAATTTAAAAATAAAAACACAGAATAAGTGTGAATAACAGAGGGATCCAGCTCCGCAGTGTTTCCTGTGCGTGTGCTGATGAGTTGTAATCCAATCATTCACAGCGGAGCTGAACTCTGCAGCAGCAGCTCTGACACTGTCTCCATTCACACTGGGACCAGATTACTGCGCAGAGCCACATTAAACTGTCCGCTGGATCCAATCGTTTACACGCTTCACAACAACCACAGTTTGTATCTGCTGTTTGAGGATCGTTTGTGGCAGGAAACGTCTCATCAGCAGCACAGAGTTAAAGGAATACGTCACCCCCAACATGCCCACCAATTTTTACTGATGTACATTGTGTAATTTGAGGTAACAACGGTCAGTGGAAACCAAAATCATCAACCCACTGAGGTCTGGATTCAAAACCGCTGATCCAGCTCATCAGTTATGTACGCCGCCCTGCTGCCTGTATGACCTCCTGACAACATCTGGGCATGCTCCTGATGAGGGCCCGCTGCACCAGGAAGACCCTTTAAGGATTTGCCTCCCCAGACCATCACCATCACATTGCCTAGAGTTGGTTCGTGTTCTCACGGCAGCATTTACAAGAGGACCAGATCAAATGCCTTGTGTGAGAAAGCTGCTCTTGATTGGTCAGAATTTCCATGTGGGAAAAATCCAGGAAGTAAAGCAAACGTTGAAGAAGAGTACACTTGCAAGATAAATGTGACACTTTCTAATGTCACAATGGAGGGACAACTACGCAGGTTGATTTTAGCGCTGCTCATCGTGGACTATATTGCTGTCATTGTTCATTTTAGTCAAAGCATACAGTTTGAAAACGAGGCGCGGCTCCAACTAGAAAACAATGTTTTGATGCATTGGATGTGCTGAATGTGCATATTAAGGCAGTACAGGAGGAGGTGCACATTAATAATCCTCCAGGACTGTAACATGCTCATGTTTAACCCAAACAATGTGTCATGTGACTGCAGTTGCTTCACATCCAGGTCGGAACACCTTCTCACCACAAACCAACCGCACCAGAGTTCCTTTGGAACCGGACTGAGACCACCTCTTCAAGAAGGTCTCAGTCCGGTTGTTTTGGTGCACACCTGAGTGTGATTGCTGTGTTCACACCTGCCCAAACGAACCACACTGAGGGGGCAAACAAACTTGAGTTGGATTGAACCGAACCAAACAGGGCGGGTGTGAAAGCATCCTTAGTTTTAGGCCCACAAAATTTTATATACTCAGGGTCATACTTGCTTTTGGCCACGTCGTCAAGCTAGTTTTCTGACTCTTTTATATAGCTGTCTCTTATTTACTCACCCTACAGCAGGAAACAGAACTTCAGAATAAAAGCTTGTGCTAGAAATTCACTGTACTTCAAAATAAAGTGTTTTTCACAAACTTGACACGTTCGCGAGTCACTTGTGGTCCAATCAAAATGGACCAACGACCCACATTTGGACTGTGACCCACCAGTTGGGAACCACTGCCTTCGATGGTCCTTTAGTACAACGATGAACAAGACTTTTGTAGGCGATCAAAATATTACAATTAACTTTAATTAACTGAAAACACACTGAAATAGCAACAGTGATGGCTACTCTACGAATTTGGGGTTAAACCATGGTCATGTCACCTAATCATGGTCGCCATGGTGGCAACTTGTCCACTGACGGCACCCACCTATCACTCAAAGCAGCTACACCCTTATGGATAACTTCTAGCCTTAATAAAAATTTAACACTGCCATGAATGTTGAAACTAGCTATAGAGACCAGGCTGCAAACATGTTATTTCTGCTCTAAAGTCTGGCATTTTAGCATGGGGGTCTATAGGTACTGACTCGCTCTTGAAGCCAGCCTCAAGTGGCCATTAGAAGAGTTTCACACTGCATTCAGGTCACAGCTGGGGCCCAGTTTTGCAATCTGTTACTCATATCTGAATCAATCCCAAACCCAACCTGACTCATTATTAGGAGACCCATAAATCGTACCTGTTATCAAACAGGCTGCTGGCAGTGGGATTTCACACATTCCAGCCTGATCATGTGAGAGCAGCTTTTCCCAACCAGAGGACGATCATGTAATCTGTCTGTTTATCTGAGAGCAGAATCCACAACATTTACAAAGTCTTCATCAGGCAGTGAGGTTTAATTCCCACAGTGACATCAGTCAGTAAGGTTCAGGCGAAGCAGCCAGTCCTTCAGCCTGAGTTGGTTGTGTTGGCAGTTGGGAACGTGCTTTGATGGTGTCATCGAGTGTATCAGCTAACAGGGTCAAAGGTCACGGGGGTTTATAAAGAGAGGACAGGAGCACAGTGTCTGGATAAAAACAAGTTCAGATGACACAAAAGACGTTTAATCAAACATCAGGAGACTACAGTGTTGATGCTCTGTCTGAGGCTCAGTCTGATGGATTCAGGTCAAACAGACGTCAAGGAAAAGACAGAACACTGTCCTTACTGACAGGAGAAGATACATTTTAAACTGCAGGGTTTGAAGGTGAACTTCAACTCTGAGATTCTGAGATCGCAGCGAATTTTAAACAACAGAGTGCCATTTTTGTAGGACTATTTTCTTAAGTGGACATTCAAGTATGTAGTTATCTGAGGTCGCCATCTAGAGGTGAGCATAAGAATTACATCTTGCTTTTTCTGAAGACCTTTCGAAGCTGGGGTGTCGGACTCATTTTAGTTCAGGGGCCAGATACAGCCCAATTAGATTTGAAGTGGGCCGGACCAGTGAAACCACTGCATGATAACCTATAAATATCAACCCCTTCAAATGTTCCTTTCCTTTCTGAAAATACTCATCCATTTACCAAACGAAGAAAGAAACATTCAGTCCGTCCACTACTCACTTTCATGACATGTGACTTTTGTCATAATTTCCCACTAAAGCGGAAGCTATTAAAGAAGCAGGTTAAGTCGTCCCCTGCCTTACAAACCATTTCCAATCTGAAGTTTTGTCTCAGCAGCAGGGTTCCACTAATATTATTTTGAAACATAAGTCTGACACAGATTCTTTTGTACTGGAGCTGCTGGTTGACAATCTTTTGCACAATGTTCAATATCTTTAAATGTGACCATAGAAAGTACTTACTGTTATTTAGAGAACCGTATTCTGGTCAGAGTAACCTCTCAGCCTTCACATGTGCATTAACATTAGGTGCGCAAAGTCATCTAAAGGGTTGGATTGGACCCTTTGGTGGGCAGGTTCTGGCACCCGGTCGTATGTTTGACACCTCTGCCTTAAAGTACTATTAAAATACATTAAATACATTTTATTTTCTCAGTGAGCAAGATGGCAATGAAGTGATGAAGGTACTTACTTTCATTTTAATTCAATAGATAGCTGGAGTCAAGTGACCTTTTTAATAAGTACCCTTAAATAATACTTTCAATAATATCAGATTATCTAGTAACTGTATGATTACTGATGCAGGTTTTCAAAGTAGACAAGGATGAACCAAACACCACACACGTTCCCCTGCTCTTTATTCTGTACACTGAATAATATATTTTATATTACATATAAAGGCAAAGACAAATTCCTGCACGTTTACTCGAATACAGTTAAAGTGATTCTGATAAGGCACTGAGTCAACTTTAAACCAACATGTGCAAACACCAAACAAATAAAAGAATATAAATCATTCTTATATAAATGTGCAAGTCTTAAAAAAATAACCGTTATTGCTTTAAAAGATTTTAACCAAAACCCAAATGTTTGACATTGAATAAGAACAGAAACATTTAAAAATCTTTACATGCATAGATTTTTTTTTAAAGATAATTACTTGAAGATCTGCGAACTTTAAATATTTTCTGTAGCTGTGCAGCAGCTGATAGTTAGAAAACTAATAAAACAAGTTGGGAATAAAAAAGGTAAAGTAACAGTTTCAGACTTCCGATTAAAAGAAGTTACAGTACTTAGATGTTATAATCGCCCGTTAGCATCACAACGTGTTAAATGATGAAGATGAGCACATTTAAATCTGATTACTTTCTCTGCAGGTCTTCCAACTCGACATTTCCAAAACTGCAGATTTTATCCTATAAATGCTAAAGCTAAAATAAATAAAAGGGGCATATGGCAAGTCAGATCATTGTTCGAACATATTCTCTGAATTTTCTTCGGAAAACAAAAGTGTAACACTCTGTAAATGCAGCCCTAAATATTAAAACATGTCTTTAAATCTGCATTTATATAAACCCTCATTTTAAATGGTGGAATGAATCTCGTCACTGTGACATTTAAAACAACACAGTGGCACAAAAGTGTAATTTCAGCACAGGCAATGAAGCTGACGTTGAATTTTTGTCCGTCTTTCCTAGTCTTGTGCAATTTATTATTTATTATTTGTTTATGGGGAGGCCCTCTGGTGAAGTTTTGGCAACAAATTTAAGATACTGTAGTGCTTTAAGAATACTGGTATGTCCATCTATTGTCTTTAGGTTAATTCAGTTGTGGCTTCACCAATGAAAGTGATATCCATACCAAGATGCGTTAGCTCAACGTGGCTCAGACTGACATGGCCTTGGTGACACACTGACTTTTCTTCTAGCTCCACCAACAGATAAAAATGTCCACTTGTCAAACACTTTGTTTCATAACAGGAAGCCTCCATCGTGGCAGAGATGCTAACCTTACACATGCTAACATGCTAATATTAACATTACCTTTGGCAAGTCAATATTCCAGAGTGTAGCATAGTGAGCTAACTTGCTGATGCTAGCATTCTGACAGTCTAAATCAGGGGTAAGCAATCTGCAGCTTTTTAACCCTTCTCCATTGGCTCCCTGTGTCTTTGACAACAAATTATATAGAAATTAATATTATTTTTTCTTAACATTTTAATTTTCATTCATCACTGTTGAGGCCCTTAAGTGATTCTTACATTTTCCAGTTGTTTAAATGCCTACACAGCCTACACACTGAACAAAAAAAACGTTTTAGCATTTCGTCAACTGTGCGCGTCATACGTCTACGGCCTGGTGCCTTTTCCGAAAATTTGCCGAATCTCAACAGCAATGGCTGAGCTTGAGTCACTTTAGCAAGGCTAGCTATTGATTCCAAATCCAAAAAAGAAAAAGAAAGCGTCTTGGAGGAAAGCAGAGAAACGCTGCAAAGTTTAAATACCAAAAAATTATAAATAGTCCACTGCAGAGTAACTACTTTGTTGTAAAACATATTGATGAATGCTAATTTAGACCTATTAGGAATATTTATAGACTAATTTGGATTAAATAGTCTGTGTTGCCGTCATTATAAGCCACATATATATTGCAGCTCCAGACAGATTTTTAAAAATTTTTGGGGCCAAAAATGTCTCTTTTGATAGTAAAGGTTGCCGACCCCTGGTCTAAACGTACGTAATGACCTTCTAATTATTATCGTTCATGTATGTAAATTAGATTTCTTTGTGATATCTAAACATTATTAAATATTAATTATTAGTGAATGAATGTAAAGTGGGAATGCTACAAATGTTAGCATTAGTGCTGTTAACATGCAAGCAGTTGCATTAGGATATGCTGTTAGCATGTTATTAAACTAAAATGGATAGTTTAGCCTTAAAGGCTGCAATTTAATCACTCAGGACAATATTTACCGTCAACGTACGTCCACTAAAAGTTTGTTTTTGTTACTGGCAGGCTCAGATTGAGAAGTGTCTGACATCGTTATGGAAAGGATCCCTACAGAGTTAAACTGTTTTTTCTAAGATTCTTTTTGTTTGATCAGAAACAGCTCCGATACCACCATCACCAAACCCACCAGACTCAATTTAAACAGTCATGTTAGTGTGTATAGAGGCAGCATGTTTTCACATCTAACTGGGTGAATTAAGGGTTAATTTCAACCAAACCAGAGTTGCTGATTGTTGCAACAGTGGAGACACAAACAGAGGCAACTTTTGTGACTCTTATTTTGTTTCTGTCCACTTCAAATGAAGTGTGTGTAATGAGGATAAAATGACTTAATTTCAGTGGAGTCTGGTGGGTTTTACAACAGTGATTTTCAGGGCTGTTTCTGGTTAAACAAAAAGATCTTACTCCTCAACATAAAGCTCTATCTCTGTAGGGATCCTTTCCAGAAATTGTGAGACACCTAAAATAACAGTCCGAGCCTGTTAGTGACAAAAAAGCACTTCAGTGGACTTAAATTGACAGTGCAAAAGTGCAAAACAGGGTAACAGGGAAAACAGAGTTGGAAAATACTTAACTTACCCTTTGGGTGTACTGTGTGTTGGCATATTTCGGTGCCTGAACGTGCACATCAGTGTTGTTAGTATTGGGACAGACCTTTAGTTGTGTTTGTTACTTTCTATGCTAGAAATAGCTTAATATAATTTCTGTGATATTCCAGCAAAGACTGTAGTGTCACTTTAAGGTGCTGCAGTTGGTAAGTTTCACTCTTTACGATCTGCATATTGACAAAGCTGGCAGCCCGACCTGACAGCTGACATTCAGCCATGCTGAGGTCTTACTGCAAAGATTGTGTTGCAATTTTAAGGTGGCGTTTTACAGTGCTGGGAACTCTGAAACAATAAGCTAGACTTTCATTTATCCCTTGTCAAATTAAGGCCACATCGTGGACGGCCATCGTCTCGTTAGTTTCTTGGGATTGCACAAGAAGTGATGCTTTGGTACCAAGTCAATGCAAATTCTGAAAATGTGATGGTATTAATTTTTGTGGGGATGCAATTCCTCCAAGCCTTACTGGGCAGCATATACGCCTATAAGTGACCGAGACAGACCGGTTGTTTTGGTGCACACCTGAGTGTGATTGCTGTGTTCACACCTGCCCAAACGAACCACACTGAGGGGGAAACAAACTTGAGTTCGACTGAACTGAACCAAACAGGGCAGGTGTAGAAGCACCCTTAGTTTCATCCCGAAATGTCACTGACCCAGAAGGTAAAAGCTCAGAGTAACTGAAATTCAGAGTCTATCTGTGAGGTGTAAAATCTCAGCTACACAACACCAAAGGCTGCTGAAAGGTTTAGTATGTGTGGCGTCTTTTCTTTCTCCAATTAGAGCTCAGTCTGTCTGAAGCAATTCTGCCACAGGATATATATAGAGGGCTTTCTGACAGTGTTCTCATCACTAACTGGGTTGCAGAGGTGTTGGAGACAGACGCTGACCCTGCTGAACCTCATACAGGTTTCTAACAAGGTCCAATGTGGAATGAGATGACAGCTGATGAGTCATGTTATCATCGCCGTGAGGAAGCTAAGACTTAGGTTGAAGGAAAAAACAAAACCTCAGTGAGACTGACTTGAGCTTTACAAACTGTGAGAACTAAACCTCCTCTGACACGCTGTGGATCGTCTCTATTATCCTCTTCTTCAGTTTTTTCACTTTGTCTGGCGGCGTCTCGTTCAGACACTCCTCCACATACTTTAGAAACCCAGCATGTGGCGACACCATCTGGCTTTGACATAACGTCCTCATGAAGTCCAGCACCTCGCTGCTGGGGGGCGGGAGGCGACGGCTCGCTCGCTTCCGTCCTGACACTCTGCTGTCAGTGTGAGAGGAAGACGTGGAGGGCGAGGATGAGGGCGAGGAGTGCCGAGAGTCTGGGGGAGTAGGCGAAGGAGGTGCTTCGAGGCTCCGTGATGTGATGTTCAGTTTGGTAGCAGTGTGGTTGGCACCGTGGTAATGGCTGCTAACGACTTGGGTGTCCAGGTGGAGGAGAGTGGACTCCTGCGGTTGGCTGAAGTGGAGTTCGTCGGGACGCTCGTCCTCGTCACAGGAGTCGCAGAGGAACATCAGGTCTCGGTAGTGTTTCCACTTTGGAAGGTAAAAGTCCTCCGAACCACACGTTTTGTTTGAGCTCACCGCCTTGTGTTCACGTTGGAAGATTGTTCGCAAGTTCCTGAATTTTGTCTTTATGTCTTCCACTGAAGAAGGAAGAATTACAGAAACTGTTAGCCTCCACAACTCTGGGAAACGGTGTGAGGAATCATTTTCTCAAAAGGTAACTTTGCTGTTTTTCAACCTGGACCCTATTTTCCCATGTTTTTGTGTCTAACTGACTAATGGGCCACTGTCAATGTTCGTCCACTTAAAGTGTTTGTCTTTGTCACTGACAGGCTCAGATTTTTTTTTTAACCAGAAACAGCCTTGAAATCACCATCACCAGACTCCATTTAAATAAACAGTAATTTTAGCATGTATATAGGCCGTACATTTTCACATCTAACTGGGTGAATTAAGGGTTTATTTTACCAGACCAGAGTTGGTGATTGTTGTAACAGTGGAAAGACGAACTAAGGTGGCTTTTGAGTGTTTTATTTTGTTTCTGTAGACTTTGAATGAAGTGTGTCTTACTAGGGCTGACCCAAAAAATTCGAAGCTTCATTCGATGGCATGGGATTCGATTGTGAAAAAAAAAATAAAATTGAAGCTTCTGCGCTTTTTTTCCATTTTTTTGGGGGGGGAGGCCTTAAACGCAACACTAACCCAAAAAGCGCACTCAGAGCCGCTCTGAGTCTGGTGTCAGAGATACTTATGATGCTCTGAGTTGCGTATCTGTTTGATTGTGCTGCAGTGTGCGCCGAGGGTTTTAATTTAAGGTGCTCACAGACTCGGGCGCACTATAAGCGGAGCGGACTCTATGAGGAATGTCTGCAGTCATTCGGGCTTCCATAGTCGAACACACTTCCGCGTTGTAGTTTCCTGTAAAAATGTCCGTGAAACACTACATTACCCCCAATTCTTGCGCGTTTCTGTCATGACGATGTGAAAAATACACGCCGAGCAGTCTTTTGATTGACACTGGTGCGTGGAGTGGAGTCCGCGTGGTCGTAAAATCTGAGCTTTGCGCACACAGGGCTCGCTGACGTCCGCTTTTAGTCTGCGCGGACCTCCACGGAGTCGTGCCCCCACCCCCCGTCGAATGCTTCGAATTAAATTCGTTCTGAGCTCCGAAGCTTTGAATGTCCAAAACTGGAGTCGAAGGTCAGCCCTATGTCTTACAGTGATAAAATGACTGTTTATTTAAATGGAGTCTGGTGGGTTTGGTGATAGTAATTTGTAGTGTTTTTCTGGTTAAACAAAAAGCATCTTATTCTTTCACAAAAAGCTCTATCTCTGTAGGGATCCTTTCCATAATGTTGCCAGACACTGAAATAACAATCTGAGCCTGTCAGTGACAAAAACAAACACTTTTAGTGAACATGAAGTCACAGTCATACATGCCCAGCCTGTTTTGGGGCTGCTAGCTGCAGTCCTTTCACTCAATGCTGGATCAATTTAAAAAACTGTTGTTCCATTAGTCGCTTAGACACAAAAACATGGAAAAATAGGATCAAAAGTTTCCTTTTACAACCACAATTTGACTGACGTTCGTAAAACCAGTCAACTAAAATATGGCTCCATCATCTCTTCAGATGTTTGCTCTGGTAGTGTCTCGTCACATTTCTGATATATATCTCTCTGTGTTAAAGTCAAAGTTATTCTTCTGACACACTACAGTGTAACACAAATAACCATCATTGTTACCTGAGAATGGAACTGGTTCGTTGTCAGACAGCAGGTTGCTCAGCGTCTCCAGCAGGCTCTGTCTCAACAGCCTGTTCCTGTAGCTCTCTGACTTGTGGTTCCACAGACAACTGTGCTCTGCAAAAAGCACATTAGGCGTATTATTCCTTTCATTCCACCTTTATTGTAAACCAGCACCCAGATACTTACTCATCCCATTCTTAACTGTTGAGACAAAAGTAACAGTGGAGTGAAGGTGTCTGCCTGGTCTGCACACACCCACACTACCCTTTATTTTTAAATATTCAGCAGTAACATCAAAGATGCCACCAACCTGAGTAAAACGAGATGAGCTGCTGGACTTTGGCCTCGTTCCAGTGGCAGCGAGAGTCAACGCTCAGTCTGCTGTCAGGCTGAACTGAACCGGAGAAATTCAGAGGAGAGGTACAAGGTTTGGTGTCCAGCAGTGACGTAGACGGAGAGGCAGGGAGTGTGGCAGCAGCTGTTTGGCTCACTAGCCTGAGATTATCTGAAGACTCAGAGAGGAAGATTTGGTACGCGGCGCTGGCGTTGGTTTTGGCATCGTCGCTGGAGGGAGCGGAGCAGTTGTTGAACCTGACGTTGTTGATTTGGGTGGAGCTGGAGGAGAAGCTGCTCAGGGTGGAGGAGGGTGTTTGGTTTCCATGTTCCAGATCCTTGTCCTCCTGTGGCGTGAGGATCTGCAGGTCGTCTTGGCTGTCGTCCTCTTCGCAGGACTCGCAGAGGAAGAGCAGCTGCTGGTAGTGTTTCCACTTGGACACGTAGGGTTTGTCAGACGCTTTGCTCGCCTGCACCGCCTTGTACTCACGGTTGAAAACTGTCCGCAGGTTCTTGAACTTGCACTTCACGTCTTCAACTGCAAAACAGCAACAAAGGAATCACTTAACACGTGCCCATGAATAAATACTCACATCTACCGTAACTCATTTCTCAGATTTATAGTGTTTGTTGCTCCTTCTTTCAGATTTTAATAAGTCTCTTTGTTGCTCTGCAAAATTAATTCAACCAAGTTAAACCATATTTTCTAACACTGACTCAAATGATTGTTTAATCTGACTTTTATAGTAACAAACCTGACAACTATCACCAACTCTGCAGCTCTAAGAAACTTCTGCGACACTTCAGCTCATAGTTTTGGTTTTACAGAATGTTTTACAACATTCACTGAAGGGGAGCATTAAGCAGCTAAAGAGAATCATTCCTAAGAGTTGGTGGAGACCAAATGAGAGCTAAAAGGAGAATAAATATCAGGGCTAGGTTGAAATAATCAGTGCATCCGATTCAAATCGATCTTCATTTGAATTGACCAATTGATCTCTTAATATTAATAATAATAAAGTTTTTTAGTAGTAGCAGTAGTAAACGGGCGCTAGCGCTAAATTATTAACGACTGTAGTCCCAAGAAGCTCCGACGTTACCTGTTCTTATATCTAGGCTGTTTACTGCTTACGTTTTTTACATTTTGGTGTCATTTATTATCGTGCTGCAGCGTCTCCTCCTGCTATCTGTGCGTCCTGGTTGCTGCGCCACTTCTACGCACACACACAGACACAAGCCCTTTTTAAACAGGAGTTGTGCAAATTTGCAGGAAAGCCCAATCAGTCTTTTTTCAGCATTGGCAGTATAAAAACAAAATCGCAGAGTGCAGCAAAATGCCGCCTACCTACTTTTGTTTATACAGAATGTGCCTTTTTCGGGGCAATGGGGGGCGTGAGCAAGTAACAAAACGTGTAGCTCAGCGTGTGACGTAAACAGTGACGTGGGAGGGAAGCCGCGGCTGGTCAGTCCTTCGGCGATTCTCTCATAAGTCGGCCCGTTCTTCACCGTCCCCGTCATCTGACGGTTAATGGCCTCTTCGTTTGCGAGGACAAGGAGGGCGCACAATTCCTTGTCTCCCCAGTTGCTCATCTTTACAGTGTCTGTCAGGTTTGTGTTTCCCTCTTGCTACTAGCTGCTTGCTAATTCCTGCTATCAGCTGTTTCCTGTTTATCCAACGCCAGTGGCTCGCACGTGCAGCGTCATCAACAGCTCCTCCCACAAGTCATCAACAGCCCCTCCCGTTGTGGAAGGCCGCCTCGGTCTGTTTAAACTAAAAGGGTTCCGCCAATATGTCTACCCTACAAGGCGGAAAATTGGGCACCTCGGATCAACTCGCCAATCCGGCTCTGTGTGTCTAAACGCTCGCAGCTTGCCGGCAAAACGGCCCAACATTCACGGAAAATCTGGCAGTGTAAAAGGGGCTATACAAACACGGAGTAAAGATGCCACGGTGTATACAGAGAGGTGGAGATAACGTGAGCCGACAACAACTACGCTTGTTACTGTGCATGCAATAAAACCTCCTCAAGGGAAAAGTCAATATTTTATCTTGTCTTTCACATTCTCGCAAAAATTGGTACAGTAACTGAAACATCCCCAATTGAATCGCAAATCGAACTGAATCAAATCGGGACATTGTGAATCGACTTTATTTCAACAGATGGACGGAGAGAAACTCCAACGAATGATCATGTTGCTCAGTGTCTGCTGGACGTGCAAAGTTATATCAATATTCTCGTCTTACTAAGGTTAGCGTTTTCACCTAAATGTTGAACTACTATCTGAAAGCAGTGGACTTCACTTGGGAGACTGGACCATGCCGGGGGTCATGCATGAGAATACATGTTTCGTGCAGTAGCAGGACTGTGTGATATTTACTTGAGAACTTCACTGAGTGGTTGGACAGCTGGCTCCTCAGGTCCTCCAGCAGCCTCAGCCTGAGCTGACGGTTGTTGTGGTTTTCCGACTTCTTGTTCCAGAGACAGCTGTACTCTGTGCACAACAACACACAACAAATACAAAATACTTTGCAAGCATTCAAACCATCATTAGGTTTAGCTTTCATCTGTTGTAACAACTGATCATTTCAAAGCTGTTTTACTTACCAGAGTAAAAGGCTATCAGCGCTCGCTCCCTCTCTTCAGTCCAGTAACATTTAATCATCATGTTGGCAGGGATGCAGGACGACGATGACGAGGGTGAAGAGGTGGAAGGGTTGGGGAGGAAGGAGATGATCAGCCCTGGGGAGTTGAGGACAGGCTGGTTCTCCTCCTGTGGAACAGACAGCGGTGAGAGCGGCGGTTCGCAGGAGCCGTCTTCCTGGTCCCAGCAGCCCCGCAGGAACATCAGCTGCTGGTAGTGCTTCCACTGTGGCACGAACACGTCGTCCGACCTGCACACTTTACTCGCCTTTACCATTTTGTACTGCCGCTGAAAGGTGGTGCGAAGGTTCTTGAACTTGTTCTTAATGTCTTCCACTGGAGAGAACACAAGAAGAGAAGATCAGATGTTTGCGCGGCTACAAAATGCAGCTTTGAAACTCAGTGGATGTGACCACAGCCTTACCTGAGAAAGGAACAGGTGGGGGGTGAGCTGACAGGAGGATCCTCAGGTGCTCCAGGGTTTTCCATCGCAGCTGGCGGTTCTTGTAGCTCTCTGACTTGTGGTTCCACAGACAGCTGTGCTCTGAGGAATAAAAAGAAACATGGTAATCAATCAATCTGCTGCATATTGTTTAGCATTTCTTTTCTTATTACCAAATGTTGGTTCATCAGTTACTTTAGCTGAGATTGCAGTTACTTTTTCAACATACTTTTTACAATTTCAAAAATGGCTGACCAGTACACACATTACATTAATCTGTATGTAGGCCAGTCAAAATGAAATGTTTTCAGTCTGCAGTAATGATGCATGATTTGATTTTCCTTTGCACTCACAAGATACACAGGAACAAAATTAGGTATATACTGTGAAGAATTTACACATTCTCAAGTTAAGTATTATTATTATTTCACTAGTTTTGGTTTGAGGGATGTTAGTCATGTGTGATGTAGCCCAGGTGTTGCCATTTCTTGTGGTGCATTCTGGACTATTAAAGGTCCAGTGTGTAGGATTATTTTGTGTTTTTATTGGTTTATATCACCTGGTCTGTTTTTTTTGGAGAGGAGGAGACATCTGTGGATAATTTGGTTATGGTCAAAACCTCCTCAACATCTGGATCTTAAGTTATCAGAGAAAAAAAGTGAGCACACATTAGCAGGTGCTGAGCTAGCAGCCCATCTCTGACATGCCAAACAGCATCAGAGAAACACTGATAAGTAACGCAGAACTGCTTTAATCAGTGTTTTCACCAGTTTAAATCACCTGCTCTGTTTGTTTTGGAGAGGAAGAGACCTCTGTGGGTAATTTGGCTCCCAGTAAAAACCTTCTCAACAACTCACACTGAATGAATTCTAACTGGAGGAACACTGATCAATAAAAGATTATGTGAATATGAAAATAGTCAGTTGCAGCCCTACAAACAGCATTAAGAAAATCAAGGTAGATGAGCAATTACATAACAACATAAAGAGACCTAAAAATAAACTTAAAGGTCCAGTGTGCAGGATTTAGGGGGACATATTGGCAGAAATGGAATATAATAAGTAGGTTTTTTTAGTGTATAATCACCTGAAAATAAGAAGCACTGCATTTCAATATCTTAGAATGAGCTGTTATATCTACACAGGGAGCAGTTCCTTATCTACAGTGATCACCATGTTTCACCGCCATGTTTCACCGCCATGTTTCTACAGCGGGATATTTGTGTTAATTGTGTTGGAGCTTCAGAAATACACTGATTTATTTAACATGAAACTGCTTTATTCCTGTTTAAATCACCAGGTCTGTTTGTCTTGGAGAGGAGGGGGCCTCTGTGGATAATTTGGTTTATGGTCAAAATCTCCTGAACATCTGAGTCTGAAGTTACCAGAGAGAAAAAGGTGAGCACACTTTAGCAGGTGCTTGCAGATTGTCAGCATTGGAGAGACACTGAGCGTGTTTACAAGGTCTTTAGTATCCCGGTTTTGATTGGGTTTTTTAAGTATCCCGTTTTTGTGTTTGTGCATGTAAACACCATATCCCAAATTCAGAAAACCGGGTTATGCCCTTTTCCTGGTTTCAAGAAACCCGGTTTTGCCACCTGGAGTACGCCTTATCCCGCCCTGCGTTCCAAATCGCATACTTCTACTATATACTTTTAGTATGTACTGCAGCTGCCCTTAAAAAGTATGTAGTGTAGTATGCATGCAGTATGCATACTATTGGGACACACTACATACGCCATCACATCGCTCCCTGAACTCCGACCCTCTTGCTCACTTCTGCCGCCGTCCGTAGCGCCACATTTGAATATTTTATTTTGTTGTACTTCGGAGATGCAGCAAATCTCCTCTCGTCAAGCTCACCAGAGTCGTGCATACCGTCGGAGGTGCCGGAGAGCTCTGTTGCTGTTATGTCGTAATGTATGTTGTTGTTTCTAATAAACAGACATGTTCACGTAAACAGTCCCAAGCCTATTATTAGTGACCTGTCTATTGAACTAGTCACCAGTAGGCATATTAACCCTCTTCACACACAGCTCTCTGTTGCTGGCACATGTTTGATGTTAAATATATTTACAGCTGTGCAGCTGCTGGCACTATATTCTGTCTGCACGTGAAGCAGCCTTACATTCACATTACTTTTATTTGTAGTGTAACATACTTCAATCAATCAATCAATCAATTTTATTTATAAAGCCCAATATCACAAATCACAATTTGCCTCACAAGGCTTTACAGCATACGACATCCCTCTGTCCTTATGACCCTCGCAGCGGATAAGGAAAAACTCCCCAAAAAAACCCTTTAACGGGGAAAAACGGTAGAAACCTCAGGAAGAGCAACTGAGGAGGGATCCCTCTTCCAGGACGGACAGACGTGCAATAGATGTCGTACTTATTACTTGCACATTCTTACTACATTACTTAATATGTATTTGACTTTTACTATTTATATATTTACTAGTCTATACTGCTCATACCTGGCCCATAGTGTATTCATATTTAGTCATATTCATTCATTATTTATACCACACTTACACCACTGCCTGTACTGGTAGAATCTTCTATATTGTAGTTATAATTGAACCCTAACACTGATTATACTGTAATCACAATAAAGTTGAATGTTGTAACTGTGTTCTTGCAAAACTGTATGATATGTGACAGTATATAATCAGATCATTGCAGTCCTAATATGTACTGTCTTAGTATCTCAAATTAAATAAACCATGTATGAAAGGAAGTGTGGGCGTTGGTTGTACACGCAGCTCAGTCAGTGCGACATAACTTCCGCTGCGCAAAGGATTGTGGGTCAGAATGGCCAAAGAAGCATGCTGACATGCATACTGCGAAATATGACCGGATGTAGTAGAATATCCTGGTACTTTTGGCATACTGCATCTGACATACTATGTATTGGGACACACTAATTCTTTTTCTGGCATACTAAATAGTATGGTAGTATGGGTATTGGAACGCAGGGCCGGTCTCTGACGGCTGCCCGTCGTGTGCGCAGGCACCAGAGTGACGTACCAGATGTTCAAGCAACATGGTGGCAACGAGAGCATTTTTGGAGCGACGAAGAGACTGAATTTTGCCTGAAAATGATGAAAGAATTCAACATAACCACATGTTTAGACGGCAGAAGACACAGAAATGCAGACCTATTCAAGTCTGCTGCGGACAAGCTACGCGACGCTGGTTTTCCACCTCGCACCGTTGAACAAGTTAGGTCGCTGTGGAAAATATTAATATTTATAATAATAATAATAATAATTAATAATTAACTATAATTAATAAATATACCACATTTCCCGCTCAATCTGTTGGAAACAAAAGACGTAAAAGGCGTAACACACGCCTGCGCAGATAGGATGCAGTGATCAGAAAACGGGTTACTGGTATTTATGTAAACAGGGATATGAATAACCGGGTTTCTCTGTGTTCCATGTAAACAGCATATCCCGGATATGCTCAAAGCCGGGATACTAAAGACCTTGTAAACACAGTCACTGATTTGTAATGTAGAACTGCTTTAATCAGTGTTTCTACTGGTTTTAATCACCTGCTTTGTTTGTTTTGGAGAGGAAGAGACCTCTGTGGATTATTCAGCTCCCAAAAATGAAGTTTCAAATGGAGGCAATCTACAATCCTCACCAATTGATGCTACTAAATATTCCTAAATAGTCCACACTGTCCCTTTAAGTTTCATTGATTTGCTTCAGTCAGGTGAAGGAGTGCTTTTTTGGGGTCTTCCAATGTCTCACAAAATATTGTATAAAGTGGGTTAGCTTTAAAACAAGACTAAGATGTCCAGATTATTTGTCAACTAAAATATGGCAACAAATATTAAGGATGAAGTTGAGTAAATGTGCCTCAGACTTACTCACAATATTAAACTTGCATCACTTTAAAGTAATAGCTGTTGTAAGCAGTGTAACTTTAGTGTATGAATAGTGATGTTAGCTTAAAGTCTAGCTAATGTTGGTACAGAGTAATAATTTAAACTGACTTTATGTGTATTTTCCCCACTTTACTACATTTCCAAGACATTTTAATTCAATTACAAAGCTGTACTACTTTAATTTAACCTATTTAAATCCAGCCCTGCAGGTGAAACGCTGGTTCAAACATAAACGGATATTTCTGACGTCTTTTTTTAGCTAGTTGCTAGTCGCCATTGCTGTCATCTGTCTGTATCATTGATTTCTAACAGCCGTCGATCCCGTCGAGCAACCGTTGCCCCGAATTGTTGCAGCTTCCGACAACACATCGATATACACAGCAACTTCTGTGGCGCGACGAGTTGCTGCTGAAGAGTGTTTGACTTACTGGAGAAAAAGGCAATGAGCGCCCTCTCCTTCTCCTCCGTCCAGTACCGCTCCGGAGTGAAGCCGTACGGAGGAACCTCCATGTTTGTTGTTGCCGTTCGAGCCTTCTTCTCCGCGGCTGCGAGGTCATGTGACCCACGAGCCGGGCTCTGATTGGACGAGACCTCGGTATGACTGCGCAGTAACCCGCATTGCCCGGTAGAGGTCGCTGTCGATTGGAAGCTGTTGCCTTCATGACGTCAACACACAGAGACACTGCTGCTGTACTTTACTTTTTAAAATTTATCTTTTAATTTATTTTTTTAAAATGAATGTGATGCAGTTTATGTCAGATGATGATTTGATGAAAAACAGCATTTTTGTGTTAATATTTATTAGATTTAAATATTTGTTAATATTTATTTAATAAAGTAATAATCAGTATTTAATTTGGCTACAAATTAATGCCCTTCTCCTCATTATTATTATCTTTATTTGTATTTACTGTCTCATTTTTATTATTCCTTTTTTACTTTCTCATATATATTTTATCATCTACTTGTCCTTTTTGCTTTTGTTTCAATTATTTGCATTTTATATTAAGAGGAACTTTGAGCTACATCTCTTCTTTTAATAATAATAATAATAATAATAATGACAATAATAATAATGATTATTATTATTATTGTCATTATTATTAGGGTTCTAACCACGAAGGGGTAGAACCCTTCTAAGATTGTACCGGTTTTTTTTTTTTTTTTTTTTTTTTTTTTTTTTTTTTTTTTTT